ATGCAAAAGATTCTTCAGAAGTTTCACCTGTGCTGGGGTCAGGATGGATACAGAATGTACCATTCTAAATATTCCTATCTCATTTATTTGCGACCCTTCTCCTCTGTGCCCTCCAAAGTAGCCAGATTGTCATGGAAATCATAATTGTTTATATAGAAAATTTATTTTAAAAAATTACTTCTAGAGCCATAGGTTATGAGCCTACCTGTTAATTTTTTTGGCTTTATTACCTAGACTGTGAGCTAAAGACTTTCTTAAGCCACCATTTTGACTCTCATGTGACCACCTGACTTAACACTTTTCTTAACAGCTGAGAGCTGGAGAAAATCACCAAGTATCATTGATGGTGCTGCCATTCTGAGTGAAAACTGTGTTTCCACAGGAAAGGCTGTTGACCTGTTATTTCTGCATACCAATTTACTTTAGATCCTAAAAGAAATGCCGAAAATTCCTATGCAGAAGAAGAGTTTATTTCCATGACTGTCGTTAGGCTTACATTTCCTTTGCTCCAAGGTGTGTGCAACATAGTCAAATGCAAGTAAATGGTATAGTTACCAAAATAGATGTGTTAATTTCTTAATTAATTTTTTCTTCTATGCAGTGTTTTTAAAGTAACGAGCATTGTAAGCAGCTTGTTATTTTTAAACCAAGGACATTTTGTGCTGAAATTGGCTATTGCAACACTGGGTTAGAATTAGAATACACAAAATTCAAAACCACAGTAACCCTAATTTTGCCATTCTTGCCTTTTTAACTGCTCAACAATAGTTCTGTGTTTGTATAATATTTAAAAATATTTGTTAAGGGGAATGTAAAGAGCTACTGGCAGGCTTTTCTGTTAACTGTTTCTGCACATTCATCCACTCTGCTCAGAAATAAGCTGTAATGAAAACTCAGGGGTGAGTACTCCTGGTGTCCACAGCTCACACCTCCTTTGCATTGAAAGCAAAGGAGCATCTGCAGCCCCAGCCAGGACGGGGGCAGAGACCTGCATGGTGGAGTGGACAGTCCCTTTGGCTCAAACCACATACACCCATGATGGGCTAAAATCTGTTTGATATTTCCTTTCTGAACTCCCCCTGATACATGCATACCTGGTTTTGTAGTCTCCAAGGACTTACTCCAGGACAAGAATAGTAATGTTCAGGATAATGTAGTCGAATCATGAACATGAGTTTTATATGGGTATAGTTCGTGTCATGACCCTACAAACCCTAGTTTTACCTGGCTTGGTCCTGAGGTTCCGGCTGGCATTGTGGGGAGAGGCTGCTTCCTTCCAACCTGACCCAGCTGTGAACTGCCTGATTCTGCCTGCAAGAGCTTTGTGCAGTTGGGACATGCATATGTCCACCTTCAGACAGAAATTAGCTTTGGATTTCACATGTCACTGGTCAGATTGACCTGAAAGAATTCATGTGGAAAAAATAATATTTGGAAAGCAGCTTGAGAAATGATTTCTACTTTTTGCTGTTGCCCTGCATTTTGGTGTATTCTGTCTGTATTTTGAATACGAGGTCATATGATGCATTGTAACGTGATAGCAATACAGACTGGGTAATCCTGGGAACCAGCATCTTGAATCTTGCCTTTCCAAATTTTACTGTTGTAAAACTTGACTTCTTTGTTAAAAATGGACAGTTTCCAGGGAGGAAAAGAACTCCCAGAGAAGAACTGTTGGCATTTTATATTTTTAAGCTGTCTTGCTGAATGAAAACAGTTGATTATTAACTTGATGGTGTGACAATGAGTATATAGAACTTAAATATCTCACCACTCCCACAAAGAAAAAAAAAACACCCTCCATTGTATCATGGGAAGATACATAGCCAGAAAAACTTTCCAACTCGTTAAACTTTTATACTTGCTTCATACATGCTTAATGTAGTCTTTTTTCCATCCTATGATGTTGTTGGGCTGCTGCTAAACGGATCACAGTGGAGGGGGACACCATCAGTTTAACAGTATTTCTTTCTGAATGTGCTTTTCTTATTACAGAAAAAGCTGAATTGCTTAATCTGAAGGATTAAAAAAAGGTTTCCTTGTTTGTGCATTTCAGGTTGTTTATTCTGCCAAGCCTGATAACGAAATCAGTCAGAATGTTTCCCGTGTAATCAGTTTAGTCAGCTTCTGTGATTGTGTGGCATATTCAGACAAGGGCAGGGATAAAGGAAGAAAGTTTTAAAAAACAGGAAAATACTATTGTAAATATATCAGACAAGTTATAAACTGGGAAAGGGCAATTGGAGTCAAGCATCATACCTGCTGCTATTTGTCATGCTCTATGGTAGATGTTTTGGTGGGTTTTTCTTCCTCTGTGGTTTGTGTTTGACTTTTTAGACGAGGAGTATGGGAAAATACTGATTTAAAGGACTAGAGTTCGGTTATATCACTTTTAAACTGTGTATTTTTTAGTGGAGATGAGTGGAAATTAGGTCACAGTAGCTGACTTGAGGTGAGAAAGAAACAAAAAAACAGTGATGTTTGGGCTCATTTTGAACCTTGTGCTGTGTGGGACAGCTCCAGGCTCTCCCTTCTCTGCACTTTGCCACATTGCATCTTGATGTGGGGCAGTAGCTGACAGGAAACATCGACTATTCCTTTGCTGTCTCTGGTGTAACTTTAGTTTTCTGGCGCCCTGATGGAGTTCTGTTGCTTACTCTGACTGTGTCCTTCCCCTTACTCTTCCTGCTTCTCCTTTATCATCCTCATCTGCGAGCCTGGGGAAAAGCTGCCTTGCTGCACCTCGCCCGCAGGTCAACTCATCCCCGTGACAGCATGGGAGGGGATGAGGGTTTCAGCTGGTCATTGCACTCGTAAGCGAGGATGTAGCAAGTTCTAAATTGAGAACTGTTGCTTCATATGTGTGCCTCTGCAAACCCGTGGATTTAGACATTCCCTCACCATTAATTACATCCTCTCGTCTTTTAGCAGCAAGTAAACAGGCCAAGTTGGGCATGTCATTCTGCTGCAAGCAGCCAAACGCAGTTTCTCGTTGGTTGGGTGCTTGCAAGTTTCTCAAAGTATGTGGCTACTCTCTTTTGGGAGGTGCACCCGTGGGACTCTCCTCAGGATGGGGAATAACCAGGCAGCTCAGACCCCTTCTTGGAGGATGTGCGTGCAAGTGACGACAACCAGTCTGGTATTGCCAGAGTTGTTCCCTATAAAAAGCAGGGGCAGGTGCTTCAAAGGGAAGCCCAGATCACCCATAGCTGATAGGCAGAGGGATAATTCCTAGGTGGCACTGGAATTGAGTGGTGCCATTATTTGCCTTGGTGCAATCTCTGACAAGATGCTGTGTGTCACCACCTCTTTTCTGGAAGCTACAGGGTCCAATCACCTGCATTTGTGAGTTGTTTGGCATCTAAGCTGCTCAGACAGATGCAGTGCAAGACTGACAAAATTGGCAGAGGCATCTGACTCTGGCAGCAGTTTGAGGATTTGCCTGTTTGCCTTGTGGGAGCCCTTAACACACCATCTCCAAATGTGGTGTCCCAGAGAATGCTAAGCAGCAGTCATGCAGAGGTGAAAAGATTTCCAGGCGAGCTTCAAAGAGAAGGATGTGACTAACTGTCTTGCAGGGAGCCAGGATGTGGACCCAGCCAGATGAGGCAGCTCACATGAAAGGGCTGCCAAAAGAAAGGGAGAGGACAGACGAAACTGGAACTGAGGGATGAGGAGGAACAGGCACTTGAGAAAGGTAGAGAGGAAAGTCTCCACAGGCTCTTTCCAGCAGCTGGGAGATGTCTGCTCTCCAGGGAGGTAACCTGTGGGTAAAGTGATGAACCTCAAGCACATTGGCTGTCGTTCCTGGCTCCACTGCAAGCCTCTGCCACCTGCCCTTGGACAAGTCACTCTCCTGGTGACTCAGTATCCCAGCTGTAAAACAGAGATTGCTGCTTACCTCATGGGGGTGTTGTGAGAGTAGGCTCATGGATACCTTTGCAATTTGATGTATGAAGTTGGGGGGAACAACAAAAAGTGACCACAAAGACAAACATTCCCTTGCTGCCTCTGAATGTACTCATGTTCCTATTGATAATATAATGGTGAGTTATTCATCACTGACATATATGCCTTTAATTGCACTGGTGGGAACAGTTTTTTGCATGTAATTTTGTATGTTTTAATAATATGTTAATGTTTTAAGCAATTTCTAATGGAAAATTAGAAAAAATAACAAACAATTAATCAAAGTCAGACTAACCAAGATGTAATCAAGCAATACAAGAGCGGAACTAGAAGCAGAGTTTTTAAAGGGAACCTCAAAAAGAGAAAACACAAGTCCTGAGGCTTAAAGAAGGAATTCTGTTTTGTGTCCGTCTTAAATCCTATAGCTGAGAATGTACCTGAGGAAGTCTAAGACCAGAAACCAAAAGGGGTCACTCATTAGCTCTCTCATTCTCAGATAAGCTTCTGCAAAAGGAAGGGGAGCTCTGGTTAGCTTTAACCCTTAAAAATAAATGTCATGTTGATCGTATGCACCTACAAGGTGGTCCAGTGGCTATTTCTGGCTTTTCAGGGAGCCAGAAAACAGCACATTTTAGGGCAGTTAAAGTATTGGTTGACCTGGTGCTATGGCTTAGTTTGTGCCTTTATGTGCTAAAACAAAATGGAAGTACTTACCTCCTCTGTTGGAAGAGGGCTATGAGACTTACGGAAATGCTGTAAAGAATGTGGAGATCTGCAGGTGGAAAATGCTGGGGGCAGTCACAGCTTCAGAGTTTTACATGGGCAAAATTCACAGTCATATTTCACCTGTCAAAGCTGGCTTTTCTCTAAAAAATAAAAAAACCCAAAGGAATTGGCTAGAGAAGAGGAACATTCATCTTCTTTTAGTACTGTATTTTTAGACCTTTAATTGCATAAGCTTTCCTGGCACTTGCCAAGGCTATCTTTGGAGAAAAAAATGAGATTCTTGGTGGCAGCATGTGGAAACCTTTTGTTGTTAAATTTTAGTCATGGTTCCTTTTTTTCCTTTCCTTTCCTTTTCCCATCTGCAGTTGAGTACGACAAGGAGTTCACACCTCACCAGCGGCACCACAAGGAATTCAAATTTAATTTGTCTCAGATTCCTGAGGGGGAGGCCGTCACAGCCGCTGAGTTTCGAATCTACAAGGACTGCGTTTTAGGAAGCTTTAAAAACCAAACCTTCCTTATCAGCATCTACCAAGTGCTGCAGGAACATCAGAACAGGTATGCAGGAGGGCCTTGCTCTGTGCCACCAGCTGCTGTCCTGGAGAAGGCTGAGCTTTGCACTAATGTTGAGAGGACTGAAAATAAATATCAGGTTTGTTAATGTTAACAGGGTTATGTTATTGCATGGTCCTTTCCTTATGGGAAGTGGGCATGGTAGAGTGCAAATGGACCCCAGCCAGAGAAAGTCCACTGTATTGTAGCCTGGGGTGTGACTTAGCTGCAACCTTTGTGTTGTCTTTAAATAGAGAAAGGAATCTGATGAGAAGCAGTAGATTTTTAAACCAATGCTGGCATTGCACTTGTGTACTGAAATACACATTCCGCCTTTCAACTTAATCCTACCAGCATAAAAAGCATAGCCTGTTTGAAAAATACTGGTGATTAGTTCAAACTTGACCTGCTCTCAGCTGGACTTAAATTAAAGTAAATAAAAGAGAAGAAAATTCAGCATGCATTTTGTATATGCAGATACAAAATCACTCCTTGAGTTTCAGTGGCGTTGAGAGAGGCAAAAGTGAGAGAGACGCAGTAGAAACTTGGACACAAAAAATCCAAACAAGTGTAAATGGAGTCATTAATTTAAAACCTGTAATGTTTCAGATGGAGGAAGCATGTAAGGCTAAAAGCTGGAAATACATGGTCAATTAAATGTCAGATTAATGTGGTGGTACAAAAGGGTTTCATTACTTGTCAGTACTGTAACTGTTCCTCTGCTGCAGGCATAAAAAAAAAAGAAATCAGCAGTGCTAAACAAAAACTCCATTTGTTTTCTCCGTGAAGGTTTCATGGACGTTTTCCTTTCTGCTCCTTCTTTCTCCAGCCTTTCCATTTCTACCATTTGGGGCACCATGAGCCTTTCATGATTGGCAGTCGTGAAGGCAAGATTAAATAGCTTGTGATTGTTCTATGGGGAATGTGGCCTCTGGGGAAATGGAGAGAAATACTTGGGTGAATAGGTGATGGGGAAGAAGGTGTGAGTTTTAAAAGATCAGTGTTGTGCTTCCCTTTGTGCTTCGAGTTGCAAATTGCTGGAGTGCCTCCAGGAGTAACGTTCTTGCTGCTTAGGATGTTAACATCAATGCCCACTTGTTACATCAAGAGCTGATGGAACTCCAGATGGTCATGCAGATTTCATAGATGTTAGCTGTATTGTTCATTTAGAGTCACACTGAATAAAAAATGGCAAGTGTTGGTCTGCTTTAGATTCCATAAACAGAGATCCCACCTCTGGAGCTGGAGGAAAACCTCTGCCAAGTGTTTATGGAAGCAATTGATACTCTGCTCTGTGACGGTTGCCAAAGCAGGGCACAGAGTAGGAGAACTGTCAACTTTTATGTTTATATAACATTTTTTTCAGAGTAAACTGAGCAAGCAAATAAGACATTGCAGGAAAGAGAATAAAGTACAGGATACAGCCCCTAATATACCCCATTCCTAACAAGTTTACAAACTCTGTTCTGAAAATGACTGTGTGCAGCAGTGATGCTGGAACCTTGTGTCTTTGTTTTACATACCATACCAGAAGCATGCTAAAATCAGATTGCTCCGTGAAGCTGTGATGTGCATCCTTTGGCACTGGGCACTTTGGCATCTGCATGTGCTGGACATCGCTGGGTGCTAGAGACTTCCCTATGGACAGAGCAGAGGCAGCAGCTTGTGTGGGGACCACCAGGGTGGTCTCTGTCCAAAGCTGTCAAGTCTTTTGGGTCTTTCAATTCCCTTCCATCATGTTCCTTCTGCCGTTGTTGGCGGCCATGCTGAGGGGATCCCACTGTTGGGACTGGGAATCATAAAGTGGCTTCCTCCAGATCCAGACTGCCAGCAATTCACTGTCCCTCCTGACATGGGCTAGGCGTGAACCACTGACCGAGGGATGAGTGTCTGTAGTTCATTACTAACCTCTGACTCATCCAGTCCCTCAAGGCTCCCTTTTTGTTTCTTTTTCTTCTTTATTTATTTATTTTTACTGGGGGGAAGGAGGGAGATGTTTGGCTAAAGCAACTTGTGCTTCAGATGAGTCTGTGGGAATTGTCACATCATCTGCACAGAGGTGGGCAAGATATGGCTCAGAGAGTTTTGCAGCTGTAAAAAGGACATGCCCTTTTCTACCCTTCTTTCCTTTCAGCTTAAAGGACTCTCATTTACGGGTAAAATATAAAAGCACATATGAAAATGTATGTGCTTCTGTATAAATACATGCATAGGTTTGTATTCTCTGTATATATATGCATATATATGTATACATATATACATATAAATTACCCCTTTTATGTTAAATATATGCAGGTGTTAAAAGACAGTTAAAATGAGATAGTAGAAGCTGCTTATTGCTCAGTGTTATGGTCAGTTGAGGTCTGACTCCATAGGCTACTGCTGCTATAGATTCAAATGTTCACCCTCATTGGTGTCCTGCGTGGACTTTGGCCTGTAAATGTTCTTGAAAACAAATACTAAAAAGTGGTATTTAGCTGTTCACTAATATCTCTGCATGGAGAGGAAAAATGCCGCAGATTCTTCTGGTGTGCCTTAAGGAACTATATTCTTTTGGGTCGTTTTGGTTTTTGATCATCAATTCACTTACTTGCTTTTACTGGAGGGGAAAAAGTCCCAAATGCTTTTTTCTCCCCCTTTTGTTTCAGTGGATTAATTTGGAATATGATGTTTTCTTTTCCTGTTCAGAACACTGGAAGGTTAAATTATAAGAAAAAGAGCGCACTGGTTTTTGAAGGAACTTGCTAAATATTTGTAAGTCTTCCATTGAATTTTAGCAGACATCTTCTGAGCCAGAAAATAACAGCTGCCTTTGACTTGAAAAAACCCTACTAAAAAAGTTGTGTCATGCTTCCTTTGGGCTAATGGTTTTGAATAAGAACCTGATATTTCCTGACATTTTATGACATTTTATTGCATAAGAAAGAGTCTGTACGGATCTCGAAGTCTTGCTGGTGAAAAGCAGGTGAGACTGAGGAGTTGATGTAGTGCCTTTTTGCATCTTTTTTCTGCTGGCAAATATTCCTTCTGGTAAGGAAAATTCATCTCTAAAGGCTGCAGAAGGTGCCTGTTCAGTGAACATCTGCAGTCTTCAGAGAAAGTTTGAAGACACCATGTTAATCTTGGATTTTATGAGGTTAACAGTTGTCTGAGGTGGTTATTGGTAGCTACTTTTGGGTGCAAATAATTTTTAATTTGGCATCTTGCATGTATGGATTTAAACCAGCAGTCTACAAGAGAAAGGCAGCAGGCACCTCTAGGGGAACATATATGTAAAAAAAAGGAAATCTGCCTGCTTCTCTCGAAGAAAAAAGTTTGGCAGGGCAGGAGATAAGAGAAGGCTTTAGTAAATACAAATCTTCACCAAAGCTCAGAGCCTGGAAGTATCCCTTGGCTCCAGTTAAGTGTAATGAAGTGGCTTAATTCAGTATTACTTGAGCAAAGGGAAAAAAAAAGCTCATCTGGACAGTAAAAGCATGAGCGTGTGACTCTAGCCCAGATGTGCGCTGCTGCACGGAATTGTGAGGCACTGCTGGCTGTTCCCTGATGGCTAAAAACAGAACCAAGCCTGAGGCTAAAATTTCTACCAGTTGCTGAATTATCAAACTGATTTTTGCCACTGTAGGAAAAGCTAAAAGCAAGGACTATGGGCCCATTTGAGACTGTCTCCTAGACAGGAGTGTAAGCAGAGAGAACATGAACGATCAGAGATCAATGGTGATTGAAATAGCATAAAACCTCTGGGTAGAAATTTGACCCTCTCCTCATTCAAAGACATCAGAAATAAGAAAAAAATACTTGTGAGGACTCCAGGCAGTGAAACTCACATTGAGGACAGTGTGGTCTAAGTACATTCTCTCTTAAAAAAGAAAACATTTTTAATAGTGACTCACTTGTGTCAGTAATATTTTCATCTCCCCATTCCTTCCATGCTTTTGTAAGGTAAGAAAAACAGTGCCTAGAAACTAGGCTTTTGTTTTCTAACCAAACCGCAGTTAATGGCCACATTTTGTCATAACACAAGCTGCTGGAGTTGTCAGTGGGATGATGCAAAGAGATTAATGAAATCCTCAGGATGGGTCAAGCTTGTGGCCAGCCATCAGTGGTGAGCATTTCGGATTGTGTGGAAAAGAGGCTTCACCAAATAGGGCTGAGGTGACATCTGGTTTGCTCTGAGGGGGATGACTCTGGGTTTTGAAACAGTCTGTGGGCTGTAGGGGCTGACGCTAGGAGAGGGAACAGGCGATACATCTGCCGGATGTTGCTGCCATTCAGCTTCTGACCGCCCAGAGTTTTAAGAGACTAGGCTGTTATGAACACTGGGGTGGGATTTTTTTCTTCTCTCCTTTTTTTCTTTTTTTTTCCCCTTTGAAATATGCAGAAAACAGGGACGTTTGCCAAAGCACCAGTTTAGGAGGACAAGTGGTATCAGCTTCCAGGTGCTTGTCTCATCGTGGCCATATCTGACAGACTGTTTAGTATATCAGGCAAGAGCTACGCAGACAAGAGCCTTAAGCAGTACCAATGCACAGCTAAGCCCTGCAGCTTGCCTTGATTCTAAAGTGTAGCACTGATTTTGTGGAAGAACCAGCAAAGCCTTCTGTGATTTCTGATACCACTTGGGAGTGGATTGCCGTGTGAGACGTTTACAAGGGAAGGGAAGAAATGAGTTTGTCCCTAAAAACAGCTCATTATTTAAACAGTTTTGTTCTTGAAACTTCCATGTTCTCACCCAGAGGGGTGTCAGGTCAGGACTAGGGAAGGCAGTTTATGGTTGATCAAAGATGTTAGTCTTTGGTTTGGATCATCAGTATGTTTTCAAGTGTAAATATCCTGCTAATGCAGACCTCAGAACACTCCCACACTGTCCAAACAACTGATCTATGAAAAACACAGTGGCCTATGTTAGTGATCAAAGGAAGATACGGTACCTTAATGGTCAAAGTTTATTAAACAGTTTCGTTTGCACCCAGAATGAAATATGAGGACACGACTATCAGAAAGAT